CTCTCTCTCTCTCTCTTTCTCTCTCTCTCTCTTTCTCTCTCTCTCTCTTCTTCCCCCCCTCCTTTCTCTTCCTCAGAACATGTGTAATCGTTTATTGTTATTTCTACTTGAACAACCTCGTTCCGATCCCACTTCCTTTTCGTGATGTTAGACGCCATCCTACGCCATCCCTCTCCAAACCACGAGTGAGTTCATATCCTACATCGCTGTTTGCTAGAAGGGGGCGGGGATGGGGGCGGGGCATAAAAATAATATTCAGAAGAGTCGTAAGTGTTGCGTATCCGTTAGGAAGTCACCTTACTGTCCGTTGTCGTCAGTGTTCTATGCTCACATATTACCCTGCTAAATTTACAACGAGTTTTTTCCCCCACGTTTTCTAGACAAACGCTACGCTATCTCATCATCTGCTAATTGTATTTAGTGCGTCAGGCGCACCCTTGAAATACTTGTATGTATATATCCCGTGCATTCTGCGTTTACGTAAAATAGGATGGGGCAATCTATTAGTTAGGGCATACCGTGAAAGCTAAGGGTTAAAGGTCAGTGTAAAGTGGTTAGACACACGAGCTGAGTATATCAGTCCCCTTCCCTCGCCTTCGCTCCTTCACGTCCTCCCCTTTTCCCACAAAAAATGAATCCCACTTTTCAAGCGCTTCTTGGTACTTTCGGATCCAAAACCTCCAGAGCTATGTCTTGTCGTATCCTGACGTGGGCGAACGTTTCGACAGGTTATGACTAGTCAAACAATCAAACGCGTTGAGGGGACGTCTTGTCAAGTTCTTTTCTTTTCCCCTTTCTTTATTTCTTGCCCTTTTTTGTGAGAGCTAAAATGACTCTCGTTCCAGAGTTAAAACAACCCCCCCTCCCCTCTTCGTGACTGAAACCCATGGCGACGTCAAGTGATGGACGGATTAGATGTGTAGACTTACTCATTGACAACATTTGAAGACGCGCTGTTCAGGGGAACACCGCTCGCTTTATCTGAAAATTGATAACCAAAGCAATAACATATGCTGTAAAATAGGCAAATCTGTGTTTTCTGATTTGCGTATGGAGGCTCAAAATGTGCCGCAACATTCATTGCCTTTGATAAATTGTGTATTCGCTACGTACTCAAAGAGTGTAGTCGGGGGGGGG